CATGTTTGTTAGGCAGGTGCTCTACCACCAGCCCTTTTCTGTACAAGTTATTTTCATGATAGTGTCTCACCTCTGCCAGGCACAAACTGGATCAAGATCCTCTTATATTTTCCTTCCCACAGTAGCTGAGATGACAGACATGCACTACTACGCCCCACTTCTTTGCTTGAGATGAAGTTTCACTGACTTTTTCTCCCCAGGCTGGTCTGGACCTATGATTCTCTATCCAAGTCTCCCATGGAACTAAGATGACAGGCACATGCCACCACCCCCAGTTATCGGCTGAGGTAAGCCTTCAAATCTTTCTTTCCCACAGTCCTTCTGAGCTCAGGCTCCCATGTAGCTAGGATTAGAGGCATGAGACGAACACCCAGGTTTGCTGCTTATTTTTATGCCCTGTTTTTTATCTTTGGGTCAAGTTGATGGACATATTTGCATGTTCAGCTTCAGGAGTAAAGAGAGGTGTATTCCTGCACTTTTCTGCTCTACAGAAATGCCTGCATGAGCCAGGTGTCCTGCTGCCCACTTCCCTGGGTTTTGCTGAGAGAGAGAAGTTCATTCCTTTAGATAGATAAGGAAATGTAACTCATGTGTGTGTGTGTGTGCACGCACATGTGTGAAGAGGCAAGAATGGATGACCTTCGATAACAGTCATAAAGATTATTCTTCAAATCCATTGCTAAGACAGCAGATTGTCTATGTCCCACCAGAAAAATGTCTGGGCTCTTAAAAATCATCTTGCCTTCTATGTTTACTTCAGTATTTGTTATTGCTGAAAGAATGAGCAAGAAATGTGGTATATATATATATATATATATATATATATATACATACATACATACGTAATGGAATTTTCTATGCCTCCATCAGAAAGAATGGCATCACCCCATTTGTTAGGAAACGGAAAGACTTGGAAAACATTATAGTAAGTGAAGTAAGCCAGACCCAAAGAAATGTAGGTCCCATGGTTTCCCTTATTTGCAATAACTAGTATATGTCTGGGACAAGCAGAAAAGGTCAAAAGCTATGTACATATGACCAGATGATATTAAGCAAATGAACCCCAAGGTAGGAACACAAGTGGATTTTTCTTTCTTGCTATTGTTTCTAATGTATTTATAATGTACCATGTGATTTTTTTGTTGCTTTGTGTGTCCCTCCCCCACAGTATAACCCGTTTTTGCTGTATTTGATGCCAGTATAATTTGGGGAGGGGAAGGGAAAAAACAAAATGTTTAAATAGGGATAGAGGTTGACCCATTGTAATAATGAGATGTACAAGACACTATGTTGAAAAATGAACTTTACAATTTAGGTGGTGGTGGGGAGGGAGTGTAGTTGTGGAGGTGGGAGGGAAGGGATAGTAGGGGAAAAAAAAGGAGGAGGCAACAAGGCTTGATAAGAAATGTACTCATTACCTTGTTCATGTAGCTGTAATCCCTCTGTACAGTATTTTTACAATAAAAAACTTATTTTTTAAAAAAGAGTTGTTTTAGAGTGCCCCTGATAACCCTCAAAACCAACTACTCACATCTTCTCTGAAAACTCTTAATTTTTCCTACTGGAAGTCAGATCTTGAATCTAGTGACCATAAAATAAAGGTTTTTTTAATCTTTAAAACGTTTTTAGAAAATTGCTAGAAGCCTCTAGAAATTCACAAAGATTTGTTTATTCCATTATGGAACAAGAGAAACAAAAGAGATGTTTGATGTAATTATATTATTCTTTAATCAGCACTGTCTGGGAAGAGTTGTCACATCTAAAAGATGCTCAGCCTTCCCTAGGTTAAGACTGAATAAAGTGACCATCCCATAAATATTTCAAACATCGCACGCTGAATGGAAGGCTCTGGAGATGTACCCCATGCTTGGCTGTCTGTAAAGTTTTACCCTTAAGGAAACACTGATCAAAACTTATGAAATAGTTGCTTCTTGATAAAGAATTGTCCTCTTCTGTATTTTTGTATTATTGCTTGCTGTCATGAATTAGCCACAGATCTTATTCCTTAAGTTAGTTTAGTTCAGTCTGGGAATCTGTAAGATTTATCCTAAGCTACAACTGCATACCATATCCTCAGAAGAAAGGAGCAGGCCAAGAGCTCCTGAGAGGGACTTTGTAAGCTGTAAATGGGGACAAAGACTTGAACTGACAAAGACTTGCTGCAGACAAGTAGTCTGACTTGAGACAGAGTAACAGGGAACTCAGATCTTAGCCTCTCAGATCAGAGCAGAGCTTCCCAAAAGCAGCTACTGGCTGGGGTCCGGAGCATGGAGACTGATCAAAAGGATTGAATGCAAGCAATGCAATTTTAGCCCTAGTGTGAAGCAAAGATGTCTAGGTGTCTTATTAAAGCTTTTGTTTATAGATCTTGAAGGAAGCCTTTTCTCTTTTTCAGCCTGCAGTGTAGCAGATTTCACTTGTGCTATTTGAAAAGAAATATATTTTAGTGGTTTGAACTTCACTGACTTCTTAGATTCTAAACTTAATCACCTTCCATTCTCATTAACATAAAGTTATTTTCATAGACTTAAAAGGGAAATGCCTTCTTTTTTGCCGGTGCAAACTATGCAGTAAGGGCATATCCAGGAGTCCTAGCTGGGAATGATTCTCAACTGATAGCATATGACAAGCCACTTTATCTATAAAATTCATGTCACAAGGTCCTGCAGGGAGAATACTCTGGGCTCCTGACTTCAAGTCTCAGCTTCATAGTTTCTTACAGTCCAGGAACATTACCCACGTTGAGAACTTTTTGAGAAGAAAATCATCCAGAAGTATAAGTATGCAGTGAAACCCTGGGCTCAGATTCCTAGCAAATATCCAGGCTGAGGTGCTGAGGGTATAGCTCAGGAGTAGAGCACTTGGCTAGCATGTCTGGATGCCCAGCACCCAAATCAAGAACAAACACCCAAGCTGGGCTTCTTCACACAAACAGAACCAACTACCCCAGGACCTGAGAAGTTGCTGCTGTTCTCCAGATTAGATGGCCAATATGAACATTCTTGCTGCACCCACATGAACAACCCAGCCAAACCTAAGTGAACTCAGTGTTTGGTGGTCAATAGTAAATTTTGGAGATCATGATGATCCAGAGACAAAGTAGGAAGTATTGTTCAGAACAATTTCAAGAGGCTTTAAAGGGAAAGGGTTATATGGTGGGTGTATCCCAGTGTGGAGTAATCATTCTCTTTCTTCTCCCTCAGTTTATCCCCTGCCTTGGGCTTAGTGAGTCAGTCCGCATTAGGACAAGGCTGAGAAAATTATGCCATGCATTTGGCAATGTGGAGAAAGCAGAGAAAAAGCTCCACTTAAAGGCCCCTCGCATTCAAGGTGCCAATGGGCACAAACACAGGTGGGCAGTGAGAGTAGCTCACTGTGTGGGCAACACTGCCCTGAAACCACAGATATGGGTCATCAACTTACAATGAAGGTTGACCTTCCAGAAACTTCTCAGCCCATTCCATGACACTTCTCTGTGAAAACCATATCCTCTTAGCATACCAATGTAGGAACACATGAGCAGGGCACATGGGAAACACTGGGTAAATGCCTGGGGGTGATGATGATGATGGGGAGAAAATGCAGCTCTCAGTCAAGCAGGGATACAAAGCAGGGCATTTCCTCCCCAATTAGCCTAACTTCAAGGACCAGAATCCTTTTGAGGGTTGAGGGTGAAGCTCAAAGCCACTATCTGATATAGTCTCAAGTCTTGCAGATTATTTTTCCTAGATAATGTTTCTAATGAGAGCATATTAAAAGTTGAGCATGGTTGGCCCATGCCTGCAATCCTAGCTACTCAGGTGATCGAAGGATTCAAATCCAGCCTAAGAAAGTTTGTGAGAATCTTATCTCACAAGTCACCACCAAAGAGTCAGAGGCAAAGGCATGAATCAAGTGATAAAGAGTGCTAGCTTTGGGCAAATAAGCTAAGGGACAATGCCCAAGCCATGAGTTCATGCCCCAGTACTGGCACACAAAAAAGAAAGAAAATGTGTTTTTTCCATGCTGAAGTAACACTGAAGACTCATATTGGTGCCCTGACTGCATAACCCTGAATGGCCTGGTGCACACATATCCTCTGTCCAGAAGGAACAGAGCTGACCAGATATGGGCTCCAGACCCAGCTTCCCCAAGGAAAGAAACAGGCAGAAGGAAAAGAAAAAGGGAGGGAAGAGTTGCAGCTCCCAAAGCAGGTGAACAGTTCTCCGCTGCTTTAACTCCTATTACAACAGAAGGTCTGGGTGGCAGGACCAGCACCATCGGCCACCCACAGAGTAAGGCACGGCCAATAACAGGGCCTAAGTCTTGCTGCCTAATGCAAGGTTTGGATCCTAATATTTGTCTGTCTTGCCTGCCTGATTGAGACAGAGAAAACCTCCATCTACCTGGAAATCCATGCTGGTTCCAGACCCCACACAATGCCCTCAGCTTCCAGAAAGCTCCAGCTGCTGCTGGTGTCCTGGTAGGTCCCTGATGGAACTGTAGACTGGGGGTGCAACCATAGGAACTATAAGAAGAGAGCAGAGTGGGCCCCGCAGGCCCAATGTCCTTCCCCAGACAGACTTGGGCCGCTGCTAGAGTCCGGGGCAAAGCACTAAGTCCACACCAGCCCACTACTCAGATCCCTGGACCTCCCCAGGCCTCTCCTACTGTATAATCAAGTCCTGGCTCCTGACCACACACCCTCCCCCCCCAAACCCCATGTGTATTAAACTCACTTGGGGCAAGCCCAGGGGCCTTCTGGACCCAGAGCTGGCCTTTCAGAGATTTATCACCCAAGCACATCACTGGGCTCTAAGTGACGAGCCAAGTGACCATCGGGGCACAGGCTCTGGGTCAAGGTGTGGAGTCCATGGCCAGTTCTGCAGCACTGCCTAGGCCAAGGGACCTCAGGGAACAGATGCTGAATATAAAGCGTGGGATAACCTGGTCCCTACCCACTCACACCCAAGATCCCCCGAGGCAAAATAAACACACGAGCATCTTTCTGGATGGTTCTGTCAGGTTTTTGTTTGTTTTTCTTGTTTTGTTCGGAACACTAGGGTTTATTTTCAAACAGCACACAGATGTTCTGCGGGGCAGGGCCAGACGGGGATGGTACCCGGCCCGTCCACAGCAGCTGCCAGGAGAAGAGGACCTTTGCCCAGGTGGCATGGCCAAAGCTTCAGGCAAGCACAGCGGTGGCTTGGGGTCCCCCAGCCCGCCCCGCGGCCGGGCACACATGCGGGTGTGGGCGGGGACACCAGAACTCAACTAGGGGACACAGCAGCTTCAGGAACACTGGCGAATTCCACCGGACTAGCCGGGGCTGGGTTCTTTGGAAAAACAACCTAGTCTTTGAGAGAATACCACTTGGCTGCAGGTCTCTCCTCTCTCCGTTTCCCTTTGCATTTCAAAAGTTTAAAAACAAAAACAGAAGAAGAAAAAAAAAAAAACAGGGGGAGGGAGAAAAACAAAAAGAAGGAAAAAGAAACACACATTTTCCGGGAAAGGCGCTCTTCACACGCCCAGGTGGCTGCAAGAGCTCCGCTGTCACTGCACACGTTCCGTGAAGTTCTCAGGAAAGACACCTCGGCATTTCTCCAGCTCCTTGTGCTGGTTCCAGTCACTCTCTTTCACACCCATGAGCCAGCCTTCATCCTGGGGCAAGGAGAGCACGGAAGTCACAGTGGGCTGGAGGACAATGGCACTGCGGGAGCTGCTAGGTCTTGGACAGTCTACTTCTGGCTTTTCTTTTCCCTCCAGTCCACCTCCTCTAGTCAGCGCTCCTCAAGTGCACCAAGACCCTCACCACCTTGCAGAAGCCAGCCTGCCCAATCAGTGGATTCAGCCCTCTACCTGTGCAGCCTGGCAGCCTGCCTTCTGCATTGGTCTGAACAGATCTCTCAATCCCAGGCCCAGTGACTTCTCTCAAGTGAGCACCAAGTCCCTGTGGCTTTGTGGCTCATCCCTCCCCAAATCCCCAAGCCCTAGCTCAGGAACCCCATTCAAGATGGCTTCATCCTAGACCCAACTAGACGCATGCCCACCCTTGGTCACTCTGACCGTTCATTCACAATGACCTTTGAAAGCAACTAGGCCTCCACTGAACCCCAGTGGGCATTCGGTGCCTGAACAAGGCGGAGGGGAACCCAAACATCCATGTGGGTAGCATCAACACCCCACAAAAGGTCATGGGCACTTAGAGTGAGAACTCTGTCGAGTACCCTCAACCACAAGGGCAAAAACAGCAGGCCCAAGCTTAGTGGGACCACACTGAATGCCAGCCCAGGCCCAGCCAGGGGCTACCCTTAGAAGTGAACTACATAAAAAGGCCAGCAGCCAATATAGTCTGGGTGTGTGTGTAGTAAGGCCAGGCTGGGGCCACAAGTGGGAAACCCACAGTTCTGTGTGGACAGAGCAGGGCCAGGTAGAAAATGGCAGCTGGGCTGATGTGAGCCCAGCAAGAAGCTAACACTCAGCATCTTCTCTGTCCCCTGAAGACGAGACACCTGGGCAAGAAGGGCCCCATCCTTGGAGGTAGGCATATCTTGGGGCATAGGCAAGGAAAGCAGAAGACCATGTAGGAAACTGACAGAGCCCAAAGAAAGGAGAAAGCACAAAGGACACCAGGGCTGTAACAGAGGCCTCTAGTGGGAAAGAGAAAAAGGAAGACAGAGAGAAGAGAGGCCAGGATGAGAGTGAAAGAAAAGAGGAAGGAAGGAAAAGCAATTGATGGGCCAAGACACCGAAGCCTATGGATGATGGTAGATCTCTGCTGCCACCTGCTGGTCATCTTTACGAGTGCAGCCCAGATGTTGAGACCACACCCTACTCACCTGCTCCTCAGGATTCTGGAAAGGGATCACCAGCACCACATCACCAGCCTTGAGCTGCAGCTCATCTGTGTCAGTGGCCGTGTAGTCATGCTGAGCCTGCACCTACAGAAGTTGTGGGGAGCACATCAGGGACCCTGTGCCCCACTCCAACCTGCACAGGGTAAGAGGTCTTACAGTATTTCCTGGTATAGCATGGCTATGAGGGCTCATGGCCAGATGGGAAACTGAAAGGGTAGAGTAGGAACAGCACTGGCAAATCACAGGGTCCCCAGGCTCAGAATCCTCACTGTAAACAGTGGTGACTTCAACCCCCAAAGTGCCTAGGCCAGCGGCTGTAGGGTGAGCTAGCCTGGACTCACCTTGAACATGAAGCCTGGAGGCATATCTAGGCGCCCGGCCCCGCTGCTGCCCTCCACAGTGCCATTCACAGTTGCCGGGAAGGTCTCCACCACCACAGCCGGAAGAGAGCTCTGAGGACAGGGCACAAGTCAACTGTACAGGTGGCAGTGAAGGGAGGGCCAAGGTCATAGGAGAGGAAGGGGAGTATCTGTGCCTGGTGCAGATGAGCCTGCCCCAATCTCCAGGAGGGAGCCACTGCACCGGCAAGGAGCACAAGGGAGCCATAGGCAGGTACTGGACAGACGGCAGGTGGACAGACAGACAGCAAGGAAGAAAAGACAGGGCTTGGTCCCTGCTGTCTTACAGAGGCTGCTTCATTTGCCGCCGCTGCCGTCTCCCCGGGTTCCTGGGCTCCAGCCGCAGGGTGAGTCCCACCCGCCACCTCGGATGCATCTGCTGGCTGCAACATAAATGCCAGTAAGGGGTCAAGAACAGGATAGGGATGCTCGGGCCATGACACAGGAAACGGGCCACAAGAGTGCCAGTGGGAAGGCCAGGGACGTCGGCTTGGCTGGCCTGGGGGTACAGAGTTGACAAGCACCTCACACAATCCAGGAGCAAAGCAGACAGTCCAGCATAGGCCGTAGCTGGAGAAAGGTTGCTGGCAGACATAGGCATGCCATATAATGTTCAGAGAAACCCTAAAGAGGTCCCTGAGATGTCACCTCCCCCACTCTGCCTCATACACCCTGCCCTCTAAACTCCAAGAATTCACCATCCCTCCTCCTGTCCATCCTTCCAGCCCCTCCAGGTTGGCTGGGGTTTGCATCAGACACCTGCTCTCGCCCTATACACTCAGGGTGGTTCTGCCTAGCCGGAGCTAATGTCTTCTCCCCCAGGGACCCTAAATCATAGCAGTTACCATGGTACCTTCGCAAGGGTCCACAGCTGGGCTAACCTAATCCCAGTCCCCATCTTACTAGTCTCTACAAGAGAGAAAGTCTCTAGCTACAAAGTTACACTGAAGACTAAATGAGAAAATTCTGGAAAATGCCTGGCACAAATCAGTGCATGCTTCGCTTAGCTCACTCAGGGAGCCTGCACTGGGGGAGGGGAGCAGGAGAGGATGGATGTGACTATCCCCTGGCTCACTTGCCCTGGGCACTTCTAGTAACATTTGTACTGTGGCCTCCTGACTCGGCATCCACACTCTTGGACCCACAGTTGCCTGCCCGCTTCCTGCACCCTTCCTCTGGCTCTTCATCCTTGTGACACAGCCAGAGATGGGGACAAATCCAGATGGAGAGGCAAAGGGCAGAGGCACTTACTTGGGCAGGCCCCGGCTCGGCTGTCTGACTGGGCCACGCCACAGCAAAGGTGCCCTCGGCAACACTGGGCTCCTTGGAAGGCAGGCTGCCAGCCGGACTCTCTGCGGGCTAGTGACAGGCCACCAGGAGAGAGCAAGGGAGGAGTGGGGCCGGGTGGAAGAGAGATTGGGCAAGACAAGAGAAGACTGGCATGAATGGCCAGTGTTGGCAGGGAATCTGGAGGCCTGAGGTATATTTGATGAGCAATCAGTGGGGTCACCTCCTTCCTGATCCCTCATTCCTTTCATCACCGAGGAGAGACAGGCAGCTGAGATACCAACAGGCACTCTGCACCAGCCGAAATCCACTCATCACCCATGGCCCTGTGAGCTCATGCCCGCCTTGCTTTCTCAGGCTGCCCAGAGTATATAGCTCTCATGGAAAGTCTTGAGCTCCGCCCCTTCCCCCCCTCCCTGCCACACCCAGGGCTTCACAGGCACCTGTCTGGCCCACCCCCTACACCCCAAGAGCCAGACCAGGAATTCCAGGTCCACCAGCACAAGTTGCTGAGTACCTTCCCAGAAGTCCCTGAGTCTCTCTCTCATCCTAAGATGTTGGGCGATGGTAGCCCCTGGACTGCATGGCTGAACTTATACCTCTGCTCTTAGAAGGCTGGATCCCACCCTGCCTCTCCTGCCACTCAGGCAACTCTCCCTCCACACACTGCCAGACTGCTCTGTAACACCATCTTGTGCATCCTCCCACCCAAATCTCTCCCTCAGAGGCCCTCCTGCCTCACAGGCCTCTCAACCCAACAGAGGACTCTCCATCAATCCCAGGTGACGGGCTGGCTACCATCTACAGTTAAATACCTTTAGGCCCTGCAAACTGGGCCTGTCAAGCAGGACCCTAGTCTTTTTATTCTATTTTTTTTTTAATTTTTGCCAGTACTGGGTCTTGGACTTTTTCAATCAAGGCTAGCATTTTACCACTTATGGCCTTTGGCTGATTAAACTGAAGATAAGAATGAAACTGAAGATAAAGATCCTCAGATGTCAGCCTCCTGGATAGTAGGATTATCAACACTCAGCTTAGAACCCTAGTCTTGACAGACACCATAAAAGCAGCAGATCAACAGGAAATGAGGGCCCATGTGTGAGGGTGCCATGTGAGTGGATCACCTAGGTGGGGAGAAGGGCTGGGCATGCAGAAGAACCACCCCACGGGGCAGAGTGGGGAACTGAGCAAGCAGCTTACCTCCCAGAGGTCCCATGGAATAGACTGGGCAGCAGGCAGGGGAGAAGGACAGAGGCAGCACATGGGTTAAGGTTAGACAGGGCACCAGCAGTCCCACCACCATCCCCCCACGCCAGCCCCAGCAGGCCCAGGGCAGTATAGCCCAGTTCAGCTATGAGGTTTGCACATGGCCCAGCCCCTCAGGGACCATCAACAGACACTGGATCACAGAGGCCCAGAGAGGCAAGATCTGAGGTGACCAGAAGGGACAGAACACACTCAGTTTACCCTCTCCTGAGGGTCACTGGCTGGTCTGGGCCTGCTGTATTCTCTACACCTGAAAGAGTGATGAGGGTCGACAAGCAGGATACCAGATGAAGGACCATGAGTGGAATTGGGCCTGGTTTTGGCCTACAGGGCCAAGAGCACAGGGCAAATACAAGTGCAGGTCCCAGTCTTGAGGCTGGTGGACTATGGGCAGTGCTGGGCACAACCAACCTGACCAGAGGGTGTGGGTGCCTTCACAGGGCTGGCCACAGGAGGAAGGGGGTCAAAGTCGAGGTCCAGCAGGCTGGCCTGCTCCGAGAAAGGCCCTGGGGCCTCAAACTTGTTGGCAGCAGCAGCAGAGGAAGAAAGCAGTTAGTGACTGCAGTTAGGCTAGTACATAGCTTCAATTCACACAGAGGACACACATGGATGCACACCCCAGGCTCTGGCACACATGTGCACACGCGCGCACACACACACACACACACAGGACTACACACACACACACACACACACACACACACACACACACAGGACTACCCATGGCCACATACCCTAACACAGACAAGCACGACACGGAGTTCATCACGAGGACAGTAGGACATCACTGGCAGCATGCCTGCTGGGGGCAGCCACCCCACAAGGACTGGGCCAGCCTCCAGCCTTCTCCCACCTTTGTCAGTGGCTGTGTGGCCTTCCCCAACACATAGCCCCTCACAAGCCCCACTATCCTTTCCCTTGAAATCTAAGAGCAGTACCAGGCCACAGTCTGAGTGGGACATGACCACATTGGTCCATCAACCAGAAGACCCCAGGATCTTTTCATTGGCCTTTCCTGGGCTCCTCAGCCAGGTCACCTTGTGCTGACACCCATCCACCAGTCAGGACCAGCTGAGAAGCAGCCTATATAGCCTCAGGGCCTAATCTTAAAAGTGGGGACCCAGTGTCTGAGGGCTTCAGCACCACTGGGAGTACTTGGGTCACAACTGCAGCACCACCACTGCCCAGTGCAGCTACCCCAGGACTCTTGAAGGCTTCAGTGATCATAACCCAGCAGTGTGCACCAAGTAGGCAGAGCCTCCCAGACAATCATGGGAAGCTCTGGAGGGGGCAGCAATGACTGACTCAATAGGCAGAAGCTGGAGGGAGGCAAGGAAGCTTCTGCCTTCAACGAGGTAATGGCTGGGCTCAAGCCTCCATCTTGTATGTACTTGCCTTTTTTAGGGCCAGGGAGGACTCTGCCCAGATCCCAAAGAGGGTGTGACTCAGACTGTCCCTTTACAGCTTAGTATGAGGTGCTGGGAGGCCCAGCACCTGTGGGCCCAGCTAACAGCTTCCCAATTCCACCTGCTCTGGATGGGTACCCAGCACTGAAGGGAAGAGGGTGCCCTAGGCTCGTGTCCACCCAATGGTCTCCATCAAGAAGTATCCAAGGCCTAGGAGTATGGCCAGCAGCTCCCCAGAGATGAGAACACTGGGGACCAAAGGACCCATAGCAACAGGCCTTCCATTAGAGCCCAGGTTAAGTGGACACATTTTCCCAGAACCAGGGGGCTAAAGATTAAGCACTCAGAACCCTTAGAAGCCAACCCACCACTAAGTTCTCTCACCCACTGAAGGTGAGCATCTCTCCACACTCTACCTTCACAAAACCCTCCCTCGCTTCTCTGAACTTAGCCAAACCCAATAGCAGCACTAAGCTGCTGTAAAGGGTGCTCATCAGCCAGAGCCCAGACCATCTTCTGAAGGCCTCACCCCAGGCAAGGACCCCTCACCATGTAAGAGTGAGACTCCTTCCTCACAAGGACCAAAGCTACTCACCACAACCCAGCACAGAAGACTGTTGGCACCTTCGTGGGCACGGAAGACAAGCCCATCCCTGCCCCATGCAGCACCACCCAACATAAATGGCGTTCCCACCCTAAACAGCTCGCTGAGAATAGGCACAAGAGCAAAGCAAGCATGTGGTGATGTGAGGGACAAGCACAGATGGAGCCTGGATGGAGCAGTCTGTAGTCACAGAACCTTCACTAGTTAAACGGGAGCAATGACTCTACCACAGGGTATTTGAAAGCCAAGCAAAGTGGAGCAAGTACATGGCTCATTATTTGCTGATCACCTGCCCAGGTGCCCCAGAGGCACAGGTGATCCTGGGCAAGCAAGGCTCCATCCCCACCCATACTGCTTTTCCTGCACACCTCTGTGTCGCCCTCCCCTCAGGACTGCTGAGAGCCCTCGGCTCCTCAAGCCATTTTGTGTTTAAAGTTCCTATTTCCAATCCAAAGTCCTTCCATGAGGACTAGAAGCCCACCCACCCACCCTCTCCAAGCCCACCCCCACACATGCCCTCAGAGACCTTTCCAGGTCTCCAAGAGCAGAAGCCTGCTGGAGGAAGAGGCCACAGACTCCTGGGCAGGGTATCCAGGCAGAGCCCAGCAACCCCAGGGCACCTAGCCAAGTCCTCCACAGTCTGGGCTGGCCACCTCCACAGGAGGAAAGCTCTCAATGGGTCCCAGGAAACCGTGTCATCCCTGAGCTGATCTGACAGCGTGTGTACTCACCCTGATGCTAACAAGTGTTTTACCCCAAATGCTGTTCCCTCTGCTTGGCTCTCCTCTTAGCCATCTGTGAGCACGCATGATTTGCCTCTCTAGGAGTTGATGAGCAGCAGCTCACTGTTATCACCTGACCCCTCTATTATCCTCCTGGCCTATCACTGCTCCCTCAGGCTAAAGCTACACAACATCAACAGGGTAAACGGTCCTGAGCTCTCCATGGCATGAATCACATCATAAAGCCATCTGAAATCTAACTGTCACCCCTGGGTGGTATGGGGGACACCTTTCATCTCTGTCCCTGAATGTGGCCACAGTGCATGCTCAGAGATGGATGAACAATGATGAGGAAAGATCAATGGAAAATGAGAAGGCTGGATGGGTCAAGGAAGGAGGCTCAGGACAATGTCTCTGGCCAGATTCTTGACTCTTGAGACAAAAGCACAGGCCATGGGATGGATGAAGGCCATGCATGCTCTTAGAGAGCAAGAAGTGGGAGAAGACGAGGCCGCGGTGGCTGCGGCTGACCTGGGAGGGGGTGGTCACGCTGATCTCAGGGACAAACGCGTCATCAAACAGGCTGAGGATCTGCTCCTGCTTGACCTCCTTGGACGGGGTATGTTTGGGAGGCGGAGGGACAGGTGGGCCTTTCCGGAGCTGTGGGTTGGCAGGGCAAGAGGGCAGGGGGGAATACCGGAAGCACAGGAGATCACGGGGGTAGGGAGACAGACAAAGCATGGTTAGTCACACCCCAAGTCATGGCTCTACCCAAGCCGCTAAAGAAGAGGAGACAAAGAGTCACTGCCCCAGACAGACACTGAAAGCCACCCCCAGGAAGGAGACTGAAACAGGAAGTCCAGAGATGCTGTGCAGAAAAAAGAGGAGAGGAGACAGAGGGAAAGAGAAGAGAAAAAAAGGAAAAGCAAGGATGTCTCAAGGGCACACTAGGGGAGAGTCTGGCCCCACCCACCTAGGAGGTAACTCCTGGCTGACAGGCAGCCAGGACACCCCTCCCCCTGCCAATCTCTGCCCTCCCACAGGACCTCCCTCCACCACTCTGGGCCAGACTATTGGCTCATGAAACCAGGCCCCTGCCAGACATGTGAGGCCCTCAGGCAGGTCTCGCCTGGGCTCCCTCCCATGTGGAATGCAATGCTAACAGTCTGGCTGTATGAGGTGGTTTAGGGAGTAGAAGGCATTGGCTGGCACAAGGTCCAGCCTCTAAAAAGCATCCAGGCACAAAACTGTGCCCTCTGCCCTTCGCACTGGCATCCTCAAGCTAAAGGCCATCTCCACCTGGCTGCCAGTTCATAGGGAGTCTACTAGAGCTAGATGAGGCAGGGCAGGGTAGAGACAGAACCATCTGGAGACCCAAACCTAGCGCCCCACTCCTCATTGAGCCTTTCCTCCTGCTGTGCCTTTCAAGGTCCTGCACAGCCACCAGATGAGGGTCCTCCCTCAGCCCTTTCCAAAGAGAAAAGGAAGGCACGGACAGACTGGATACTCTGGGGGCCAAGGGCCCAGAGAATCTGTGGAGGGAGGAAAGGAAGACAGGGGAACTGTCAAGCAGCCAAGAGGCCAAAAAGAGAGAGGCCAGGAGGGCACAGCAGTGAAGGAAAGATGTAGGGGCATCTGGAGAGACACGGATACATATGCCCTCTGAGGCACACAAGGGCCACTGAGCCAGCTGGGCTGGGTGAAGCCCACAGAGACCCCTCGAGAGATGACAGAGGAGGCAGAGGAAGAGAAGGAACAAACCACAAAGACATCACGCCTACCTGAGATGGGGACTTGGGGATGGTGGCCCCAGGTGTGGCCCCACTGGCTGGCTCCGGCTCATGGTTCACTCTGATCTCAGGGGTGGCTGCAGGAGAACCATCTGGAGGAGGCGAAGGACTCTTGTTCCCTTTTGCAGGGGCGTTGTCACTGTGGAGGCAGGACAGGAAAAGCACCCCAATGTCAGGTCATGGCGTGAGAGGGGATAAACAAAGTTTGTGCAAATAGGATTGTGCACAGGTACCCAAGGATGCCTGTGGAACGTAATGGCTGTGCATGTATGAGCCCTGTGGATCCATGTAGGTATGTACATGTGCAAGCCTTGTGAACCCTAACACTGCCCATGCATATGTCCACATCATGTAATTACATACTTAGACGCGTTTACATGTGAGTATGTGTGAGCCCACAGACCTTTGTGTGAAGTTGTGTTTCTTTATGGGAAAGAGGTAGTAATAAAGGGCAGGACATGTACCTGCCTGGAGGCAGGGTCTCACTGAGCCCCATCCAAAGTCACAGGACTGAGAGCCACAGCAAGAACAAGCTAATACTCTACATTCTAGAGGCAAAGTAGGTCTCTACCACATCACTCACCAATCCCTCCACTTAGGACACTCCCCCAACCGCCTCACAGCCTTCTGGATGCCTCTCTATCCATCTCTACCCATTAGTGTAGATGGACCACAGCCCATCACCCAGCACCCTCAGGGTCTCCAGACTTTCACTCCCTAGTTCTCTCAGCCCAGTAACTATTTCTAACTATACACCCTGGGAACCATCAAAAAACCACAGGAGGCCCTGAGCAGGGTCAGGATGACCAAAGAGTTATGGCTTCACAGAGGAGGGATGGCAGGTGCCAGAGAAGAGGACAGGGTCCTCCTAGAAAATCACAGGGCCAAGGGTGTGCAGAGGATACAATTCTGCACTTACATAAGACAACTGTAGAACAGTGCCATCCAATAGCCACTAGCCTACAGTCTACTTCACTACAAGCTCAGCCTCTTAGTCACAGGGCCACATTCAAGTTCTCAAGAGTGGCCCTGGACACTGGTGGCTGACGCCTGTAATCCTAGCTACTTAGAAGGTTGGGATCTGAGGACTGCCATTCAAAGCCAGGCAGGGCAGGAAAATCTGTAAGATACTCGGCTCCAATTAACCACCAGAAACATGGAAGTGAAGCTGTGGCTCAAGGTGGTAGAGCAGTAGCCTTGAGGATAAAAGCTCAAGGACAGTAACCAGGCCCTGAGTCCAAACCCCACAGCAGACAGCTGGATAACAATATAGGTGGTACACAGATCTAGGAGGACAATAGGAACTGACAACATAGTAAGAGCTGGGCTTATTTAGAGTAGTGTGGCTCAAGCCTGAAATCCTAGCTACTCAGGAGGCTGAGATCTAAGGACTAGATATTCGATATTCAAAACCAGCCTGGGCAGGTGGTTTATCTCCAATTAATCACCAAAGAGCCAGAAGTGGAGCTGTGGCTCAAGTGTTACGGAATTAACCTTGAGCAAAAAAAAACTAAGAGAAAGTGCCCTAGCCCGAGTTCAAGCCCAAACACCAGCACCCACACACAAAAAGTAGATTAGTGTTTTATCAGAATAAGTTTGCCTCCCTAAGGAATACACTGCAACATAAAACATGAGTCACAGGTGATGCTTCAAACCTCGATGTACGACGTCCCCCTTTCTGGTTGTTCTAGGCTTCCTGACATGCTAACTTCTCCACCTGAAAGTCACTGGCCATCAGGTAACAACAGCCCAGAGCTGGCTACCAGTGTGCGCAGAATACTGTACTACACTGGAGCAGAACAGCAGATGCGTGCTCTGCACCTTCTCCTTCCTGGCAACCCTTCACTCCTCAGGCCCCTCCCACATACACACCACACAGCCTGTCCCAGAACGACTCCACACTCGTGCGGGGAGGAGAGGGGGTTAGGAGTTAGTGGGCCCTGGCAGCAGGGCACATGCATGGGCAGAGCAGGGCAGGGCGCTGAGGCCAGGGTGGCACTGCACTCTCTGCGGTACCTGTTCTTCTTTCTGCGCAGCCGGGAGAACAGTTTAGTTTTCTTTCTGTGGGGATGGATGGCATATGGGCATGGGGATGGCCAGGTAGAGGGTTGGGCCCTTCCTCTTCCTCTCTTCTGGGCAGAGGAGGGCAAAGGGCAAAAGCCACACAAGCCAGGGCTTGTGTGAAGCTGCTAGGTACAGACAGAGCCTGTGGGGCTCCAAGAGACTGAGGTATGGGACAGGCACCCTGCCTGCAGGCCAGACAGCCAGAAAGGGGCCAGGAATCAGGGGCCACCAGGGGAACCAGGCTGCCCTTTGGACCACCTTGGTGGGACTCAGGATGAGAAGCCTGCATTGCCTCCCTCGGACCCCTTTCCTGCAGGACCAGCTACACTGCCCTGGATGCCGCTCCCCTCACCCAGCCTGCTTATTTTCCTGTTCCTCCTCAGTGATCACAGACTCACCTTTGGCCTTATTCACTCCACCCTTCCCCTCTGCTGCCTCAGGGCACCTGCAGGCCCCTCGGCCACACTCATTATAATATTTTCAGGGGACACAGGAGCAACAATGTTCACTGAAATCCTTAGTCCTGGGCAGCATCTCAGTAGTCTCTCAAGCAAATGGCCATTGCTCCATTTACAAACACATAGAAACACCAGGCTTACAATGCTCTCTGCACGCTGATATGTACATGTGTCAATACCTCACATGCACTCACCACACAACCACACACTTACTTCCACTTCAAACACCACATACCCTGTACTCACACACACACACATATTTTCCCCTCATACACACATCTATATACTCACACACAAACACCCATATACATACCCTATTCATGTTTACACTCACCTCACACCCTCCACACACACCATACTCACTCACACACTCTCTCATACATGTAACACATATACTGACACACTCATCCATACACACGTTCCACATATTTCACACACACACATTCACACAACCCATACATGGTCACACTGACCCATATACACACATATACCTATATACTTAAACCCCTATCTACACATTCCTACAAGCATTCACTCCTCCACACACACCCTATCCATACATCGTCACACCCCCATACACAGACATCAGCATATGTGCTCATACACACACACTCACACCCCACACATACTCGGTCTCACAAACATTCCTATGCACATTCATATCCAGTCACTTGCACTCATTCTCATAAACTCACTCCAATTCTCCCTCCTCTCTCTCTCTCTTACACTCACACACACACACACACACACACACACACACACATACACACACACACACACAAAGAAAAGAAGGGAAAGCCTATGTTTCCTCTGGGTCTCAGCCAGAAGCAGAAGGCATGCCCCGCTCCTTGTGGTTTCCCCTCAGGAAATGGGAACCTCCTGGCAGCTGCTCCTGAGGGGTTGGGCAGGACAGAAGCCAGGGTTCAGTGCACATTCTGGAACTGGGGCCTACAGAGGAGAGGCAGAGTCTGCACCCAGCTCTGGAGAGTTCCTTCAAGCTCGCTGAAAGACTGCCCCTGCCAGGAACACTCAGCCCTGGCCGCACAGAGCTAAACTTCTCCTCCACCCAAACAGGAGGCACTGACTCAGGGACCTGCAGGTTCCCCCAAACAATCCTTCCTCCAGCAATACCACCTAGGAATGAGATTCCAGAAGACAAGTGACCTGATCTCCTCTGCCTCCTCTGAGTTGAAGGCCAATACAGGAAGATCCCCAGAGCTCTGGAGCCAACCCACAGGAAAGAGAAGACATGGCATAGTCCCACCCTGCCCACCTGCCATCACTCACGCACCTAGGCTGGGCCTTGACTGTGAAGGTGTTGCTCCCATGCTGCTTCTCCAGGCTGACCAGCACATCATTGAGGTTCTGGTTGAGCTGCAGGAAAATAGCAGTCAGGAAAGAGCTGGTGGGGGGCTCCAGGGCCACCAAGAAGCCATACCTTCCCCAAGATACCAGTTTCTTCCTTTCCCAACCCTGGCTTCATCACCACTGGGAGCTGGGACCAGCATGCCACACCCAGGCAGGCAAAAGCGGGGAAAGGACAGGGTTATCATGGCTAGGGCCATCTTTTCTTGCTACTCCTAAGGCTTTCTCAGCACACCACACATAGCTTGACCTGGTGGCACTTTTTCCTTAAAAATTGCATTTGCAGCTGAGCACAGTGGTTCATGCCTATAATCCTAACTATGCAGGAAGCAGAAATCTATCTTGGGCAGGAAAAGCTGAGACTCTTATCTCCAATTAACCACCTAGAAATTAGAAGTGGAGCTGTGGTTCAAAATGGTAGAGCAGTAGAGCACTAGCCTTGAGCACAAAAGCTCAGGGACAGCACGCAGGTCCTGAGTTAAAGCCCCACAACCAGGAAAAATAAAATTGTATTCACAAATTTACTGCTGATTCTAACTTTGCCAAGATGTCTTCAGACCATACAACAATTGCCAGAGATGTTACCCAAAGCACAGAAAAGGAGATTTTGCTTCTCATTACTGAGAATATTTTCTCTTTGTTTTGGCTACTCAGAACCTCTGTGCTGAATTTCCTCACAAATATACACAACTGTCTTGTAGGCATATATTTCCATAGACTGACTATACACAAAAATAACCCTCCCTAAAACATCTCTTTCTGTTTTTCCAACTTTTCATAAGTTTCCTGAACTCTTTGAAGGGAAGAGGGGAAAACAGGAAGAAGAGAAAAGCCCCTAAAAAGCAGGAAATCCTAGTTAGGGTCATATGTCAGGAAAGGCCCCAAGCTGGTGTTTCCTCCTCCACTTGGGACTCAGAATTCAATATCCTCTCCTTTCTCTAGGCCCAAGAGACAAAGTCAAAGCTACCTACTGCATGGATCAGGGCATTTCCAGTTGAAAAGTTAGAATGAAATGAAACTAACACAACATGGAAATGTAAGCTGATCAGATTATGGCAAAGTCTGACACAGGTCTGTTTCAATATCTTAAGAATACCAGGAGAATAAAATAAAATTGAAGCTGGGAACTAATGATTCATGCCTGTGATCTTAACTACTCCAAAAGCTAACACTGGGCATGGCTGGAGGCCAGCTGAGGCAGAAAAGTTCCAGAATCCCTATCATGAAAATAGCCAGCAAAACACAGAGCTGGAGAGTGGTTCAAGTGGTAGAGAATCAGCCTAACACATACCAGTCATTAAGTTCAAACCCCATTACAAACAGAGAGAGAAAGGGAGAAGAAAAGAGAGGGAGGGAAGGAAAAAGAGGTAGGGAGAGAGGGAGAGAAGGAAGGAGAGGGGAGAAATATAGGAGAGAGAGAGGGAAGGAAGGAAGGAAGGAAGGAGAGAGGGAGAAAAGGAGGGAGAAGATAGAATGAAGAAGACAGAAGGAAGGAAGAAAGGAAGTCAGACAGGAAGGAAGAAGGAAGGGAGGGTGGGAAGGAAGAAGGAAGGCAGACAGAGACAGAGACAGATAGAGAGTTCCAGTAATTTACTTGTATTCCTAGGGATTGGGGAAACACCATTTCTATGCCGAGCTCCCTTGCCAGGGTGACCTGAGAACATATTTACAGTCTGAAAGGAGCTGGGCCACACTTGCCAGCCCTTCCAGGCAAGAAGACTGAAGAGGGTGGAGGGCTGGATAGGGACTACCCACAGGTGGGTTGAGCTGGGCTCAACCCAGGCCCAGAGGAGGTGCTATGGTCACCAGTGTGCCCAAGGCCTGCAAGGAGATGGAGCTCAGCTGCGCCACCCACCCTCTGACAGCCACCCTCAGCCCCAGTGTCAGGACCTGCAGGCCCCAGACAGAGGGTTGCCTGGCCTACCTTACTCATTTCTTTGTGGAAGTTTTCCTCCAGGCCTGCTATGCTCTGGAACGTGTTGACATAGAAACCTACTCGGCTGCCAGAGGGAGAGATTTGATGAAAACCACATATGACCGCACACACACACACACACACACACACACACACTCTCCCTCTTCAGACACGCAGAGCCTGGGAAAGCAGACATATACACCACTGGGCACTCAGGGCTCTCGATGCCTCACCTGTTCCACAGGGATGGAAGCTCCTCCTGCAGGTCCACATTCATCTCCTCAAATACCTTCTGGGCTTTGATGAGCTCCTCCTCTGCCTGGGATGAGGAGCAGGCAGGAAGGGTCATAACCTAATCCTCTTTGAGCCCTGGTCCCAGCCAGCCCTAGCCAGGACCACTCCCAAAGCCCACCCCAACCTCATGCCTGAGGTACAGGAGTCAATCCCTAGCCTGGATCCCCACCCAGGATAGCTGGGCCTATGGGACCACTCTAGGAAGAAACAAGACCACCTGATAGGGCCTCAATGGGCCAGGAGAGAGGGCATAACAAGAGAGTTAGAGCTAAGGGGTCTGGAAAGCTAAGTAATACAGGTAGACCCTGGTGTCCAACAGGCGGGGCCCCACCCACTTCCACATGAATACTCCTGGGTAAGGTTTCAGCCCAGACACTCAACTCCACTGACCCATCTGAGGACTCTTGTTCTTTCCTAAGGAGTAACACCTACTCTGCCTCTGCCACCAGCCTCCTCTGGTCTCTGTGAAAGTCATATCCTCTGTGACCTGCCATGCCTAGAGGCAACAGCTCAGGCACTACTAGGGAAGCTTAAAGGGGCAGCAAGGTGTGGAAAGGAGTTGGTGGCCCTGTGCCCAGAACCCTCCCTGCATCTCAACACTGCTCATAGCTACCAGGTGGTGGCGCTAGGTCCCAATACCCAGCCAGAAGTGAAGGACGAATCACAAATACTCCAGTGCCAAAGGACTCTGTTGACTCTCTTCTGGGGAATGACTCAGGGCAATGACTCAAATTCAGGTCTGAGTCATAGCCCAGGAACGCAGAGGCCCACCCAGGAGAGAACTTCTCACCAGCCACTTCATTTTCTCAGCATCACATTCACGTTCTCCTGCTGGGACTGGACCCTCTCCTGGCAAGGTCACCAGCTGCCATAGCACACCACTTTGCCAATGTATATGATTTCCCTGTGCCCAGCCAACTCTTCCACCCAGCTTTGGGCACCAGCACCAACCAAGGTGAGCTGATAACCCCAGTACACCTGGCGATCTGTGGGTGGAGCTACAGGAGGGCAGCCTCAGCTTCAGACTAGTCACCTCCAGTTTACTTGTGCAAATAAACTGACTTTTTAAACTCTAATCAAATGTGAAAGTGGAGTAGAGACTGGCACCAATGGTTCACACAGGAGATCTTAGGATCACAGTTCAAGGCCAGCCCAGGAAGAAAAGTCCCTAAGAATCATCGCCAATAAATATCCTCCCCAACCCCTGCCTCCTGATCCCCCAACACAACCTAAAGCCATAAAAGGAGTCTCAAGTGGTAGAGCACCATCCTTGAGCTGAAAAAGCAAAGGGACAACACCCAAGCCCTAAGTTCAAGTCCCAGTACTGCCCCCCAAAATAATAATGATGAAATGGGAAAAATGTCTAAACATGCACACTTCTTCAAGGACTAGATCATCCTCCCTGGTCTTTCTCAGGGGTCCCAGGAGCACTGGAAAGAATGGGCGTGTAAAGCTTTCAAGATTCCAGAAATCAGGGCCTGCTGTTCCATTCCCTTTGAGTCACATTCTCTAAATTCTGTCTGTTTCAGAAAGAGTTGGTTGGCAGCTAAGTGGAAATGGGTGGGACATGAAGGAGGCCTTGCAGCTCCTAACTGCCTTACACACTAACACACTATGGAGCCAAGTAGAGACCCATCTGGATCTTCAGGCTGGGTTCAAAAGGCTGCTTCCAGTCTAGAGAGCACCAAGGAACTAACACAGAGGGTGCGTGGAGCCAACACAGCCCAAGGGCATGTAAAGTCTCCCCAAAGCCCAACAGCAGGGCAGCCCCAAAGCCCCAAGTGCCAGGCTCACAGTCACATAGTTTGGGTAGATCCAAAGTCTCTCCAGCTTTGAAACATGCATGGAGAAGAGGGAGATATATTCAAATAAAATGGGAACCAAGGAAAGATCAATTTGGTAGAAAGGCAACACATCTGCAGACCAATATTTGAAGATGTGCTCATACAGCCTCTGCCTTCCCTGCTGTGCTCGAGACTCCCAGCAAAACCTCTATGTCCACCCCGGGGGGCCCAAAAGCAGCAGGCAGGCTCCATCCCAGCCCTATAGCTCCCCTGGAGGCTTTTCCCACTCAATAAAAATGTTCCAGTTTGTCATACAACAAAATGAAGAATGCCTGGCTCAGAGTCAGTAGCCCCACCCCCTTCATCCCTCACGCTTGCTCCACCTCCCAAACTGACTCAGGCCTTTCCAAGACTCTCTCCACCCCACCCCCCACCCCCCACATCACCTCCATAGGCCCTAGTTAGCCAAGGTCAGCCTGACCCTAACCTCCAAAGACAGGATTTCCAAAGTCATCCCCCTAGTCCTGGCCTGAAAGAAGTCAAGCATAAGGTCAGGTAAGAAATCGGGCCTCAAGCCATGCTAAGCTGGAGCTCCCCTATCATAGCAATCGATATGTGGGTTGAAGATGATGAAAACATGAGGTAGCCCAGGAAAAATGGGACAGCAGCCCAGGAGAAATTTGACCTCCTAGGTCATGCGCAACTTCCCCACCAACCCTCCTCGCACAATGATGGATCCCAGAGACTCACTGGGTTAGGCTAACACTGACCTGAAACACAGAGAACATATCTTGTAGCCCACCTAGTGTTGGTACTGCCTCCAGCAGCCCCCAGCCACACGGCACCCCATTCCAAGGACAGGGAACTGAGAAGAGGGTAACTATCTTCAGGATCATAGATATCCGACATCTAAGGTCTAAGGTTTCTCCCCCAAATTCAGGATCCTAGCCAGACCAGAGAGCTCTCCTATGGTTCCCTTTAGAGTCACTTCTGGGACCCCAGTTCTGGATGTGCTCTGGTAGGGCCTAACCACATAGAGCCCCAGCCAGAGGCCAGGTTGACAACATAGAGCTTAAATCAAAAGTCCCATCTGCCACTCACCAGTTGCAGGACCCAGGGCCAGAGATGCCTCTCTAAGCAGTTTTGTCTCAATAGATTCAACATAACCTTAGGTTCTACAAGGTCTGAAGGACAGTGCAGGCTGGGAAGGGAGTCCTAATTCCATCTTAACACCTCCCACTACCCCTAGGAAACTTCAGGGAGGACATATGGCTGAAAGGCATTCTTGGTTCCAGGATCACTGGATGACAGAGCCAGTTCCCCGGTCCAGATCAACCATAGCCACTCAGTATGAATGTGCCCCAGTATATGGCCTCAGGTATCACCTAAAGTTGTAGCTGGCCCCACAAAAGCATCTGAAAGCCCTCCCTGCCCTCAACCCCTTGCCCAATGCAGCCCTCCAGCCACCAGCTAATCCTGCCACCCAATCCCAGAAAGACTGCTGAGCATAGGTGCCCAGCAAGAGTACAGGAAGACAGTCCAGAAGGCACCAGCACATGCAAGGTTAGAAGCCAAGTGTCACCTGATTTCGGAGCAGGTTAGTTTGAGCTACGAGATGCGCCTGCAGTTTGCCTTGACACCACTGGGGGGCGGCTTTCTCAAGCAGCGAGACAGGCTGGGGCAGGGAGGCCAATCAAGGCCAAGGAGAGTGGAGAGACAGGAGGGAGGTGGGAGAGAGAAACAGAGACACAGATATTAAACAACAAGCCCATTGCCTAAGGCACAGACATATATAGTCAGTCTCCTCCCAGACATCCCACCAGGGACCAGCCTTGGCAACAAGCAGAGGACGCCTAGGTCTGCAAGAAATAAGGGAAGCCCACCCAAGGGGCACGGAGAGCAGCATGAACTCCAACTGCAAAGACAAACGGTGAACGTTGTTAGCAGGGCAGAGGGGCTCAGCAAGCAAGATTCTGTCCATGAGGGGGTCCCTACCATGTGGCCCGGAGGCCAGCCTTCTGATCGGCCCACTAGCTTCCAGTGAGACAGGCTCAGATCCCATGACACTCAATGGAATGGCCTGGCACCATTCCCGGGAAACCCAAGCCAGGTCTATTCTCATTCTGGAAAGTAGCCTCAGAGAGAGACAGAGTGGGGTTGAGGACAGGGAGGGGCCCAGAGAACCCTCATCTTGGCACCCCTACCTTGGGACCTGGGACTAGCCACCCACTACCCCCAGGCACCAGCCTCGGCCCGGCCTCAGCAGACTTCCCAGCCCTGATCCTAGTGTTTACCTTGGCGATTTTGGCTTCATCCTTCTTTTTGGCTGTTTGAAGGGACTCGTAGTGATGCCGGGCACTGTCATAGTCCACCAGTTTACGCCCTCGCTTGGCAATGCGTGACTGCGGAGCAGACAGAGGAAGAGGGGTTCAATGGGGCCTGGTACCCAAGCTGAGCTACCCAGTCAGGCTGGACCCAGAGAAACATGAGGGGCCTGGAGCCCAGAATTCCATCAGAGGCATGTGAAGCCCTGGTATGGGAGCCTTCTTGGGGCAGGGAGCTCACCTTTCAGGTCACTTGCCCCTCTATGTCCTGCTTTCTTGCAACAGGACCTCATTTGTTAGGATCCACTAGCTGGTATTAGGTGGGTCAAGCCCATAATCCCCCAGTTTGCTTCACTGACGACCACAATACGTGCACAGGGCTCCAAGTACATACCCAGGCCCAGCAGAGGCAGCAGCTGGCTTCTAAACATGCAATTCCTCAGACGTCCAGATGGATAACAGGTGACATGCACAACTATATATACACACCCTCCCAAGCAAACACAACATAAGCACAGGCAACAACAGGGCCTGTCACACCCCCACACCTCTAACAATCAGTCACTACAGTTGCACACACACACACACACACACACACACACACACCTCTAACAATCAGTCACTACAGTTGCACGCACGCACACACACACACACACACACACACACACACACACACACACACCTCCGAAGCCCTCAGATCCAAAGGCTCAAAAAGGGCCCGTTTTTGGGAGTAGAGAGGCTGGCAGGCTAGCCAGAGTGGAAGCAGCCCTGGATAATGAGATGCCTGTCTAGTTGGATACTTACTACCCATCAGGCAATCACCTCTGCACCTGAGTCTGCCTGGTGCTGGGCCTCCAATTAATTCCCTCCTCTCCAGCTCTTGCCAAAAGCTACAAGAGCCCCTTACCTTGATGTCAGGGAACTGGCCCAGGTAGGTGTCCATGGTCAGTAGTGCCTGGTCCACCAGCTTCTGGTGGTAATCCATCCACAGCAAGTCATTGTTCTGAAATAGGAACAAGCATGTGTCACACACAGGGAGCCAGGTCTCATGGCCTCGGCTCTCCTCCCTAAGATTGTCATCTCAAAGCCCAGTGGATTCTCAAAGCCTCAGTTTCCCCATCTAAATAGAGTAGGGGCAAGAGCCCCTGACTAGTAGGCTCTCCTGTAGCTAAGTGAGGCTCAAGACCGATTCATGTAACATGGGAGACTTTGTGACTCATAGCCATAACACAGAGACAGCCATAATCCACTGTCTCACCCTTCAGCATGAGACTAGAAGGAGGAGCAAGAAAACTTGTCAGTGAGCACATGGCCTGTGAGTACTGGGAGACTGTCACAAAGCTGAGGCACTGGGGAGGGGCCAAGTGCTGAAGCCACAAGGGGCCCTCTGGGAGTCGCTATGACCATCTCCCTACACTCACCTCAGCAATCTTGTTTGCCTCATCCCTGCCAGGCCAGTCGGGCTCATACACTTCCTGCAGACACTCATTCAGCTTCTTGGAGGCCTCGTGCATGGCTGAGCGGCAGAGAAAAGGTATATGTCTTCCCCACCTTCACCCTGCCAGCATGGCCCCTTTGCAGTCTGCATCCACCAGTTCCTTGCACTGGCACCCCCTCTGTCTGCCCCATACCTTTGACCGAAGCCAGATAGGTCCGGAGGTCCTTCTGCAGCCGGGTGCCCTCAGTCTGCAGAGAAAGATTAGGACCAGATCAGGGCCTGAAGGGTCCCAGAACCTGACCCTTTCCTTCCTGTCATTCCTGAATGACAACTCCAGTTGCTCTCCTGACAGCAGTCACTGGCCAGCTGTCCTCCCCACAAGCTACCATGGAGCATGCCTCAGGGATTGTCCCTGAAACAGCTCTGGCTGAGCAGTACTGTGCTCTTAATACAGTTCCTCCTCAGGAGCCCTGAACCCCAGTTCATCAGTCATGTGCTCACACTGTGAAAATGGCCCTTTGTGCCCTTGATGATACCCCGGGGGTACAATGAATGCTGCACATGTGCACATCAGGTCAGACCTGTCCTCAGACAGCAGTGAACAAGTGACTGAGAGGCACCAGAGCATGACCAGATAGGTGCGTGACCACCAGGTACCTCACTCCCCAAGCTCAGGTGGTGGCCAGGAACAGAGGCCCAGGAAAGGAGGGACAGAAAGTTCTGCTGGACAGAGATGGTGGACCTCCCCAAAAAAGGCAACCTCCAGAAGGGAAAAGCATTAGTATTAGGGTAGGGGTGCTGTCCAGGACTCTAAGGACCTCTACCCAGGTGAGGGAAGGTGTAGGGCATGGGAGATCAGAAGACAAGGCTCAAAGAGGGAGTAGGTAAATAGTGGGGCCTCCTAAGCCAGAAAGTGGCCCTGGAAACCTGTTGAGGCTGTGGGCCAGGCCTCAAGTCCCAGTGCCCTTGATACCACAAAAACAGGCTACCTTCCAGTACAGTAAAACAAACAAGATACAAGGTCTGAGACTGTCAGCCAGGAGAAACAGCAGAGTCCAGAAGTCATGTGACGAGGGGGAAGCATGTAAATGGTTGGAAACAAGTAAGTGGTTTCTTTCTGAATCTTAGTGACTGTCAACTGGGGTGATGGACCCTGCCAGGCATAGCACATGCCCAGGAAGGTTCAGATGAAGGCCCAGTCCACAGAGCTTCAAACGCTACTCTCAGGAGAAGACCTCCACAAAGGGGTAAAGGGGAGTGGCTGGTCCTAGCCGTATCACATTAAGGCATCTTTGTGGTCTTCCTCACCAGCCACCAGCCCCAAGTCTCAGAAACAGAGTACCTGGAGGAAGGGTTAGGGAGATATGGGCCTAGCAGCTGGCTACAGTCCCATTCCATCCATCACCCCTGCTGAGCTCCAGCTGAAGGCAAGTCCCTATCTAAATAGGTCGTCTCTAGGGAAAGCAAGCAAGAATCAGCCACCCTCCTAACCTCACCTCTAAACACTTCAAAGTTCTCATTCCCTCCTCCCCAACAGACCCTCCATCCTCGACGGGGCCCGGATCTCTAAGTGGAATATCCAAAACTCTAGATGGGTACTGATTTCTCAACACTGCTATCTCCACCTGATGAGGGAGGAAACTGAGAGGACTGAGAACTATTTCAGAGACACACAGAGACCCAAAAAGCCAGGGACATCCTCCGGTCCCAGCAAGTGCAGTTTGCTGAATGGGTACCAGTGTACCCCACCCCCAGATCTAATGAGCTGTCTATTGTGACAAATGCTCCCACATTCCAGTGGGGACACCTGGCAGCTAGGGTTTCAGAACAGCGCATAAAGATATGTAATAAAAAGAATAAAGAAACACCTTCAGATACGCATACATACGAAATCAAACTGACTAAACTATGGTGTATGTAGGGGTGGATTCCAATGGTGTAACTCCTTTGAACACTTAACAGAAGGTTTAACAGAATTAATAATAGGAAGCTGAAACTTGTTTCTGTCTGAGGGGGATGGGGAGGGCCAGACAAATGGAGAGGAAGGGTGGGCAAATACAGTCACGACAATGGGATCAGGTAACTTGAGGGGATAGGTAAGGTTGGGACAGATGAGGCAAAATGACGGAAGGTCTGGTATTGATCAAGAACCATTGTACTCATAAATTAACATGCTGAATTGAAATCCTCATGTACAACTACTTAGGGAAAGTATATTTTAAGAGGAAGGAATACCTCCAAACTCAAAAAAATAATTAATAAGTTAAATGAAACATTTTCAGGTTTCCTAGTGGACACCTGTCCCTTGGAATGCTGAGGAACTGTCCTGGAACCCCCACCGATGCCTGCAGATGGAGTCCCTCACATAACATGGCTTTATGTTGCACATAACCCACATACTCATTCTACCCAATACTTGAAATTACATCTAGATTACTCAACACCTAATATAATGTGGAAATAGCTGCTACTTTGTGGTGTTTAAATTCGTAACTTTTTTTTTTTTTACAAATGCTTGTGTTGTTCTTCCCCTTGCTGCCATCCATCTTCAGTCTGTAACTTGTTGAGTTCTCAGAAATTCAAAGAAGGAAAGGTGAACCATTTAGTACACAACCCTAGTCAAATACAAGTCTATGAACACTTAATCTATCTAAGTAAGTCTTTGAATATCTAATCTGGAGGCTCCTGACTAAAGATTAAAAGAAGAAGAAAATGGTCCATCCAGGCACAGTCAGACTGAATTCAGCAGGGAATAGGAATCAGACTGTGCAAGGAAGGTACTCATGGGTGTGGAGGTGGGGGTGTGCATGTGCTAGTAAGGGAACCTGAACTCAGGACCTGAGTGCTGTCCCTTAGCTTTTTTTGCTATAGGCTGTAACTCTACCACTTGAGCCACAGCCCTACTTCCAGCTTTTTGCTGGCTAACTGGAGATAAGAGTCTCACAGTATTTTCTGTCAGGACTGGCTCTGAGCCGTGATCCTCATATCCCAGCCTACTGAGTAGCTACCACTACAGATATGAGCTACTGACACCCAACTTGAGAAGGGCACTCTTCTCTTTTTCAAGACTAGGACTTGAACTCTTGATCTGAACACTTTTGCTCTACCACCCAAGCCACACCTCCAGCTCCTTGAAAAGGGCATGCTTGACACAGTCCCTCTAGTCTAACAGTTAAATGCTTTGTTGGTTGAGATGCCATACTAGGGTATCAGCTGATGTCACAGAATCTCCCACACCCAGTTTCTCTCCCTGCCAAACCTCCCTCATTCTGACTACACTTCTAGCATGGTCTTCAGTTCCACCCACACAAAGAGTGCCCATGAAGTGGACTGTGCATTCACCCAGGCTGCAGGCCGTACCAGGGCCCCTTGTGCTTCCCAACAACACCAGGCACGTGGCATGCAGATGCTGGAGGGGCCACTCAGACAGAGCTCTGCCTGCCCTGTGGCCTGCTACAGCTGGGCCTCTAAGCCACACCCCCCAGCGTAGACACAGCCATTCTCTATCTAGGATAACATCCAGCAGCCCCTAAAGGGCAGCAGTGAGCCAGCTAGTACAGAACCCTGTGGCCACTTGAAAACTGTCCTATCAAAGTGGGATATTAAAGAAATGATTCTGTGGAAGCTCCCTGGATTCTAAGTTCACACTGCAGAGCCTGGCTGGGAGAGGAGATTCTGAGCCACTGCCCAACTTGGTCCTTGGTGGTCAGTGAGGGCCTGGTGTGATGTCAGAGAGGGCCAAGCTCAGACGCATCTCTACACCCTGTTGGACCGCCCTCAACATCAATCTCCACCTTCCTAGTGGGACTAGTTCTAGCACTGGCCCTTGCCCTTAAGCAGTCAAGGCCTGGAATTGGATCTTCACTCAGTAGTCAAGGTAAGCAGAGCCCCAGGTGGGCTTGGAAAAAAAAAGAGGGAAGCAGACCTACCCCACCCCCATTACCCTGGGATCCTGGGTGCTATAGGAGCCCTAGGAGCAAAAGCTTGGCCAATCTGGAAAACTAAGGTGGCTTTCAACAGACAGCATCAGATGCTCAGGCTCCCAACTTCTCTTTCTGGGGTGAAGGGCCAAATGGAGCCCAGGACCACTCCATGCAGAGGTAGAAGGCAAGGGTATCAGCGACCACTACCAAGTGGGCCCCAGAGAAGCCATGCACCTGGGTCATTGTGAGAGCCGGTGATAGCACGGTGACCTATCTCCTCTCCTAGGGTCACGGGAAGGAAGGGTTGGGTCTAATGGCTGAGTCAGGAAAGAAAATTTGTGATTTAAACTCTAGTGCCAAGACAAGGAACTCCCACATCTGTGCTTTCCTCACCTCCCTCAAATACCCCAGTTTGCTCTAGGGAGACCCTACCTCCCCACCCCATCTCAGGGGGTGCACTTTCTTGCCAGTGCAACCAGACAACCTGAAGACTGGGGTCACCTCCAGAAAGCAAATGCAGGAGCAAATTAAGGGACCCACAGTCTGTAAGCCCCAAACTAGAAAGTCCCTGTATATCTTGACTTGGCTGCCTCTGAAGACCTCCTTTCATCATCCAGAGATCTGTTAAGTGTAGAATAAGCCACTTCTGTGCCTGCATCTGAGCACAGTGGAGGGGGCTGATTCATCTCTTACCGAGGAGACCAAGGCAGCAGTAGGCCTAGAAAAATTGCTTAACCTCTTTGAGCCTCAAGTGCTACAACTATAAAAAATGAAGAAAATACCAGCACCCATTTCAAGGATCTATATGTAAAACACATGTCAGTGCCAGACCCGCAGTAAATACCCAAGTAACAGCAATTCTTAAAATGACTTTGGAGGTGTCCACAGCCTAAAGCTGTGTGCGAAATACACCCAGAGTGTCCAAGAGACAGTCAAAGAATGAGGCTTCCACTTTCTTTTTCCAGGTGAAGAAACTGAGGCAGTAGAAGCCTTCTGTGAGGGGACCTGCATGAGTCTTGAAACATCTTCCATTACTGGCCTGGAAGACAAGTAGCCATGATGATTCCCACTGCTGCCCAGCCAAGTATCTCGGGCAGATCAAGGAGGCTTGTCCCTACAGCCTCTCCCAGCATGCTCCCTAGCCCTCCTCTAATATACTCCCAACCTTCTGCCAGCTACTCCCCCGCCCTCTCCCAGCATGCTCTCCAGCCCTCTCCCAGCTGCTCTCCTGTCCTCTTCTGGTCTCTCTGGCCCTCCTCAATAGCTGGGGAACTACCAGGTTTTCTGAGTGAGATTCTTCTCCCTCGGCTCCACTCTAGCTGCAGAGACTTTCTTGGACCTCTTTAATGCTTTTCAAAGCCTCAGACATGGACAAAGGGAATCCAAAGGTCTGGGGACCCCAACCTAGGCCCATCCTGACATATTCCTAGCAGAGCTTAGACCCTGATCTCACCTCTCATGCCCATCCCTAGTGGCCTCCTTCTCTGCCCTGTCCCCATCTGTCACTCAATTGTGACTAGCCTGCAGATGCCATGGAGCCATGCTCTGTTCTCCCTCTCTACTGCTACCTTGGTCTCCACCTCCACTGTGCCCAAATGCATGCACAGAAGTGGCTTATTCTACACTTAACAGATCTCTGGATGGTGACAGGAGGTCTTCAGAGGTAGCCAAGTCAAGATATACAGGGACTTCCCTTCCTTGTATCTAACCACTGCCCCCAGACTGCTGACTACATAATGAAGCCACTTCCTGTCACCGACCCCCAAGTCTGTGAAACAGGCTTTTGTGTAGTCCTTTCTAGGTTTTAGGATCAGACAGTTTCTGAATCTACTTTGAAAGCTAGACACCTTGCAGGTCACCCACTTCTCCAAGCCTCAACAGCTTCACCTACAAAAGAGAACAATGACTGGGTGCTGGTGGCTCACACCTGTAATCCTAGCTATTTAGGAGGCTGAGAGCTGAGTATCATGGTTTGAAGCCAGCACAGGCAGGAATGTCTGTGAGAATTCTTATCTCCAATTAGCCAGCAAAAAAAGCCAGAAGTAGAGCTGTAGCTCACGTTGTAGAGCACAAAAGGACACTGCTCAGGCCCTGAGTTCAAGCCTCAGTACTGGCATGAACCATAAAAAAAAAAAAGGAGACAATGATATGGCCACCTTAAGAGTTGGTTGGAGGTGTCCACCTGCTATCTACAAAGTAGCCAAGGCCACCCTGAGGCTCCTCTTCAATGAGCTCAGCAGATGCTCAGCCTGCTCAGCCTTAACTCCAAACCCTGAAGATTGCACTCTCCTGGCAAGAAACCTCTGTGGCTTCCACTTTGCCTTGATATGCAAGCTTTTCCAGAGTGATCACATCTACTGCCTGCTGCCACCCAACCCTTCCCTCCCCCATTACTCCTTCCAAGTCTTTCCCAAGGCCCCTACTTATACCCTAACATGTGGTCCTGCCTCCAAGGAATCTTCTGCCATCTCACCAATCCAAGCTGATCCCCTCCTTTGAGCCTTCCTACTCCACAGTTTCTACCTAAAAACTACAAGTGCCCCAAGGCCAAGGGCCACCCACACTTACCAGCTGCTTGTTAAAGTTCTGGACACACTGTTCAAACTGCTCATCCTTCGTCTCATCTGCCTTCCCCAGTTTCTGTAGGACCTGACAAAGCAGAGAAAGAGTTACTTTGGAAAACAAAGTATTTCATAGAATCTCTGCAATAAAAGAGTCCTCAGTCCAACACCACACAGCAGGGTCTGGGGTGGCTGTGGATCCCACTGCCCTGCTCAGGGCACTGAACTAGCAGAAGACCTCCCAGCTGCTGTGATCCCCCAATCAAGAGAGTTCTGCCCTTGTGGATGAATTAACAAGCTCAGCCTAACACTGGATTCATCATCACAACAGACAGACAGACAGATAAGATAGTGCTTTGTTAACCATATCAGATTGGCCCTATGACACACCAAAATCTGTGAAATTTCTAGTCTCTTCCATAAAAATGCCTTAGTATTTGCATATAACCTACATATACCCTTCCATAGTCTTTAAATCATCTCCAAATTGCTTACAGTATACAGTACAGTATATGTTATTTACTTAACATAACTGCTAGCCTGAATTGTTTAGGGAATAATGACAAGGAAAATTCTGCATATAGAATAATGACAAGGAAAATTCAATACAGACACAACCACCATAGGCCTAAACCAGAGAGTACAATACTCTAGGAGTATTGAAGAGACTGGGGAGCTGTGAAATGGCGGGAGACAACAGTACAGTATGGTGCAGAGATTCTATGAAATACTCATTGAATAGCAAATTCAAGTTATGCTTTCTGGAACTTTCTGGAAATTTATTTTCCAAATGTTTTCAATCAAAGAATGGTTGAGTCTGTGCATGTGGAACCCAATGACACAGAGGACTGACTGTAAAAGCAAGTTTGGGCCTCTCTGGCCCCCACACACATTGTCTCTCACCACATGATACCTTTTGCCATGTTATGGCACACCAAGAAAACCCTCACCAGGTATAGCCCCTTCATCTTGGACTACTTAGCCTCTAGAACTGTAAGAAATCCATTTCTTTCCTGATATGGTCTGAAGAAGTATCTCCCAAAGTCCCATGCATCAAAGCTTTCGTACACATCCTGTGGCACTATTGGGAGTGGTAGAACCTGTAGGCAGTAGAAACTAAAGGAAGGAAATTAGGCCACTGGGGTTGTGACCTTTCTCTCTTTGCTCCTCTTACTCTCTTTGCTCCCTTTGCTCTCCCGATGTTAAAAAGGTGGACACATCTGCCAGGCTCCAGTAGCTTACAACTATAACCATAGCGACTCAGGAGGCTAAATCTTAACGATCGAGATCCTAGGCAACTTTGGCAGAAAAATCAGTATGACTCTTATCTCCAATTAACTAGCAAAAACCCAGGAGTGGAGGTGTGGCTCAAGTAGTAAAGAACCAGCTAGAAGCAAAAAAAGCTGAGAAAAAACTCAAGACCCTATGTTGGAGCCCCAGCTTTCTCTCTACCATGCTGTCCCTCCAGTGCTCCTCATTCCAGGCCTAGAAGCAATGGACCAATTAACCAAGAACTAAAACCACCTGATCTATGAGCCAAGTAAACCTTTCCTCTTATGAGTCTTCAGAGTTGATGATCTCAGGTATCACCAAGCCTGGGGTGTTCTCTCATACCAGCACAGAGCATGTGAAGACAGCAAGCCTGAGTTCATCAAACCTTCCCATCCTTGCCTAGGGCTTAAGCCTCAGTAAACAGCAGCAGCATCAAGACAGCAACAGCTCCAGTACCAGGAGATCAGAGACCTCCCTGCTGACCTCATACCATACCCCGAAGGCTCCATTCCCACTCTAGCAGCAGAAGACTAGGCTGAGCAGGAGAAGACCCAGGCAGGGGCATCCCTATATCCCTACATGACTCCACTGCCTGCGATGGGGCCCATGACCTCACAGAGATGCACAGAGCAAGACCAGAGCTGGCAGTAGCCATCCTAAACTAAGGAAAGCACAGAGGGCAGCCTGGTCCGGCCAGGATCATCAGGAGTCAGCTGATGGCCCTATGTGGTCTGTTAGGGGGTGACGGGGCCCAGCCAACCTCTTCCATAGGACCACTCCTTGGTCCTTACAACCTCACATGTACACATGTGCCCATGTGCATACATAGGAACCCATACTTATACCACATGCTCTACCCAACTGGAAATCTCACAGGTTCTCTGATGCCAGTTGGTCCTCTTCATCTGTGTGGGAGGAAGGTGGTAGAGAGAGATATACAAAGTCAGAAGACCTAGAAAAAGGTATGAGCTGGTCCGGGGACTAAGAGGAAGCCTGATCAGAGGGCTGGCCCAGCAGGTCTTCCATGATCTTGTGTCCCAGGCCTGCTCCCTTGTACCCAGAATACTCTAGGAAGGAGGGACTTTGAGAGGCTGAGGGGTCCGGGGGAGGGAGGAACCAGGCCAGGACTCCCATTCTAAGGAGCAACCAGCAGCTACCCATGCCCAACCACATATCCTCAGACATAGCCTCCCTTTAAAAACCACCCTTCCTAGAATGCCAATTTTGCATACCCAGAACCAAATTGGGACCCGGACTAGCACTGCCCTACCACACCTTCTCTTGCCCCCAGAGAAAACCAGTCACTCATAAGCATCTCTCACTAAGCACCTGCTCTGTGCCAGCCTTGGACATCTCTGCTGGAGACAGAGCCAGAGTGGAGACTGTACATAGCTGGGGCAGTCAGAGAAGACTTCCTGGGGGAGGTAGCAGCTCAGACAAAGGAGTACCCAAGGATGGGGCATAATAGGGAAATTTCAAATGGCTCAAGGCCATTGGAGGATGGAAGAGAAGGTATGTGGTGTGCAATACTGGTACAGGCAAGCACTGAGAAGCAGTAACAAGCGACTTCATGACTTCACACCTGCAATGAGAGCAGAGACAGGATATGCACTCCTGAGCCCTCACAGCTTCACACTGAGCTTCCCCAGGCACTGAGACTGTAGTCAACTACAGCATGCCCAAGTCTTGGGGAAGTCACCCCATTTCCGCCTCACCACATTCCCCAATCTCAGAAAGCTGGAACCAGGGCACACAGCTACACTCAAGGAGTGTTCAAGAAATCCCAGTGTGGCTTACAGAGGGCAAACCAAGTCAGAGACAGGGACTAAGAAAATACCCATCCACTTGTTCAAGGCCAGCTTCCTGTTTATACCACTTATGCTGAGATTCCGGCCATAACCTGGCTGCTGGGAGAGGCCTTCCTCACCATCCTGGCACTTTTGGTCCTATCTTGTCCCCTCCTGGCCCACAAATTCTGTTCAGCCACACTAGCACCTGTCCTCCATTATCCTGGAGTTGGGGCACAAGGTTGCTCTCTCTAGTTCCACTACAGCCCTCACCAAGAGACATACTCACATGCCTGCACAGGTACACACACACACACAACCCCCTGCATGCACCTGGGGTCTATCCATCCCATCCATTCAACACAAGTGAGTGGGTGCACCAGTGCTGAACTCAGACAGATGGATCATTGGAGGAAGTGGAAACCTGGGAGTCCAGGAAGGGCCTGGCACAGCAGAGGAAAGGAGATATTGTACAAATGAATTGTTTTTTATTCTTCTTGTTTCAGTACTATTATTTGAACTCAGGACTTTACACTTGCTAAGTAGATATTATGCTGCTGAACCATGCCTCCATCTCTTTTGGGCACCAGTTATACTGAGATAGGGCTTTACTTTTTTCCCCTGGGCCTGTGTCTTTAGAACTCAATCACATAATTTTATGTTTTCCACTGTAGCTGAGAGGTATGCATTAGTGTGCCTAGCTTATTCTATTGAGATGGAATCTCAGGAACTATTTTTTTCTAGGCTGTCCGGTGATCCTGTGTTCCTTCTGCTCTCAGTCTCTGAGAAGCTAAGAAATTAAGTGAGCCACCTAACTGGATGTCCAGACTCAATTGGGCTTTGAAGCATAAACAGGACTTGGATGAGAAAGACCCATGGCAGGCATGGGTAATACTCTGTCCAGGGTTACATGAGGGAGGAAGCCCCAGACTATCAGCAGCACTCAAAGTGATCACACAGTTAGTCACCCAAATCTCACTTTGTATTAGAGAAAGTGGAGCTTTGATGTGGGACTGACAATGGGTCTCAGGGTGTGTGAGCACAGAAGGCCCACACAGCACCCTGAGGGAGGCAGAAGCAGCCAAGCAGGAGCCAACAGTCTAGGCAGCCTTATCAGCCACTCAGTGTCACTCTTATCAGCTTCCTGTCCCCACATCCTCAGCCCAAGGCCAGAAGTGAGTGGGGCTTAAGTACCTGACAATGACTGCCCACTTGGCCGGCTCCAGAAGCTTTCTACAGCTGCAGATTCTCAAACACAGCAGTGTCTCGATGCCATGGCCAGCAGGGCCTCGGAGGGAGGGTTTTATGTGCACTGGAGACCCTCCCTGGCCTCCAATGTAGCCCTCACTGTAGAGGCACTGGGGTCAGCCTACTCCCCATTGGTAACCAGAGTCTACTGTCAACGCTAGAACCACAGGCAGAAAACTGCAAGCTTTTGCCACAGAGATAAGTCCCAAAGACACCATCACAAAGAGAAGGAAAGTCCCCCAGGCCAGGAATCTTCTATCTCTCCCATCCCTGCAAATTATTTCCTCCTCACCTCCAAGTGACAGATGGCGAGTGGGTCCAGATAAATCTGGACAGAGTCAGAGGTAACCCATCCAAGCTGGTAACCCCAGCCATGAGCTGGGGAGAATCAGAGGTCAGCCAGGAGAGCTCTGCACTGCCCCAACATCTGTATGTTTGGGATGAGCCTTGGATCATCACCACCACCACCACCACCACCACCCTGCCCCCAGCTGCTCCCCATCCCTCCAGCACACTCAGTTTAATTGCCACCTCTCACATGGAGATGAGCACTTTTTAGAAACCAAGACTAGTGAACAGAGCCAAGGAGGGAACTGCTTCCTACAGGGAAGCAGGGAAAAAGCTAGTCAAGGATACAGGCCAGGCAGAAAAGCTGAAAGTCCCTTTATCCATGAGGTACCCTTGTCCCACCTGCTTGCGGGAGCCAAAGATGAGCCCCCTCTACATCTCATCAATGTTCCCAGCATACACACACACACACACACACACACACGAGCCCCCTCTACATCTCATCAATGTTCCCAGCACACACACACACACACACACACACACACACACACACACACACACACACACACACACACACACACACACACACACACTTCCCTCCCTCCCAGGCACCCACCATTCCACTGCCAAGACCCCAGAAAAGACACTCGGCATTCACCTTTCTCATCTCCTCGGCGACCTTCCCAGTTGCAGCCTCAGAAAGAATGGTTGAAGGGAGGGAGCCCCGCCCACCAGCAGGGAGTTGCCCCCCACATTCTTCCTCCCAGCAGAGGCTGCGGTTGGGGGACCACAGCGACAGGATGCATGCTCTTGAGCCTTCATGCTCTTGAGCCCTCACAGTTTCAGAAAGAGGCTCCCAGGCACTGAGACGGACAGCAGGCAAGCAAAAGCTCCAGTCAGCTTTTCCCTGGGGCCTGATCTCAGGAAGACACCTCAGAGGGACGAGTGAGGAGGGGGGCTCAGAATCAGGCCAAAGTACTGGTGCCTCTAGATTTGGGGCTGGCTCTCACACCCTGGGGTTTTTCTATGTGGGTCCCTCCCACTTTTTTTTCCGGTCATGGGGCCTGAACTCTGGGCCTGGGCCCTGTCCCTCAGCTCTTCAGCTCAAGGCTAGCACTCTACCACTTGAGCCACAGCACCACTTCAGACTTTTTCTGCTGATGTGGTGCTGAGGATTCGAACCTAGGGCCTCATACATGCAAGGCAAGCACTCTACCACTGAGCCACCTTCCCAGCCCCCTTCCCACCTTTTGACCCTGCTCTCACATCCTTCATATTCCCACACATACACACCCCCACACACAGGGCTGGGGTCTGCACTGCTGGGAACTAACTCTTTTTTATTTAATTTTAACAACTTACTTGTTATTGTAGAGGTGATGCACAGAAGTATTACAATTACATGAATCAGGTAATGAGTATATTTCCTTTCATAGTGTCATACTGTCTTCTATTTCCTCATTCTCTCCCAGTCCCTCTCTCCTGTCTCCACCCACAAGTGATATAGTTCACTTTTATCAATGTCCAGTGAGCTCTACTGCTGCACTTTTTCACCCTTTTACCCTCAAGTTGTGTACCCTCCCCCTATCCCTTCCAAAGATGTACTCTTGAATACACCATAGAGAAGGTAAAGAAGACAGTCATCAAAAACTAAAAACTAAACAGGGGAAAGGGAGTAAGTCTCTTGTTTCCAAACCTTAGAGTTCATTTCAGCATGTACATTGTTTTATGTAAATATGAAGAGGCACTTAGACATTGCACCTTCATGTTTCTCTCCTAAGAATATCCTCTTTTGGTCTCACTGTATGTATCTAGAATCCTGTATAATTTATCATATCCCAGTACAATTTAAATCTAATTTCCATCTATCCAAAGAACAATGTGCTATGTGTCTGTCTGAACTTGGCTTACCTCACTTAACATGATTTGTTCTAGTTCCATCCATTCCCCTGCAAATGACATTATTTTATTCTTTCTAATGGCTGTGTAAAATTCCACTGTGTAGTGGTACTATATGGATCCACTCATCTATTGTGGGGCATCTGTGCTGTTTCCATATCTAGGCTATTGTGAATAGTGCAGCAATGAACATGGATATGCAGGTATCCTTATCATATCCTGGCTCATGATGTTCAGGGTAACTGCCCAGGTGTGGTATAGCTGGGTCAAGGAAAGGCCTGTTTCATTTTTTTAGGAACCTCCAGACTGCTGTCAAGAGTTGTACTAGTTTACATTCCCACCAACAGTGCAGTAAGGTTCCTTTCTCCCACATCTCCACCAACATTTTGCTGTTTGAATTCACAATGTTGGCCAATCTTACTGGGGCGAGTAGAATCTCAGAATTGTTTTGATTTGTATTTCTTTTGCTTTGGTTTTCATTGGCTTTAAGAAAGTCTAGGTTTTTTGTTGTTTCATGTTAATTTGGGGATTGTTTTCTCTATTTCAGTAAAGAATGTCATTGGGATTTTGTTGGGGATTGCAATGAATTTGTTTATCATTTTTGGCAGTATGTCTATTTTCACAATATTGATTCTATCTATCCATAAACATGAAAGGTCTTTCCATTTCCTAGTGTCCTCTTTGATTTCTTTCTTCAGATTTTCAGTTTTCACTATCAAGCTCTTTTATGTCTTTGGTTAGGTTCATTGCTAGGATTCTCATTTTTGTTTTCGGAGTTTTGTTTTGTTTTTGAGACTATTGCAAATGGAGTTTGTTGTCAGGATTTCCCTTTCTGCTTGTACACTGTTGGCATACAGAAAGGTATTGATTTTTGTGGGTTAATTTTGTATCCGGCTATTTTGCAAAAGTGGTTCATCAACTCTAGGAGCTGGAGATGGGGATGGAGTTGTCTGGGTCCTTTAGATATAAGATCATGTCATCTGCAAACAGGAATTGTTTGGTTTCTTCTTTCCCTATGTGAATTCTTTTCTTGTCCTTTTCTTGCCTTATTGCTCTGGCTAGGAATTCCAGAACTATATTGAAGAGGAGGGGAGAGAATGGACAACCTTGCCTTGTTCCTGATTTTAGGGAAAATGGTTTGTTTTTCCCTGTTCAGTATGATGTTGGCTGTTCATCTGTCAAATGTAGCTTTTATTTTAAGGAATGTTCCTTCTATTCCTAGCGTCTCCAAAGCTTTTAACATGAATAGATGCAGTATTTGATTGAAGGCTTTTTCTGCATCTATTAAGATGATCATGTGGTTTTTGTCTTTGGCTCTGTTGATGTGGTGAATTACATTTATGATCTACATATGTTAAACCAGGCTTGCATCTGTGAGATGAAGTCTATTTGGTCATAATGTATGATTTTTGAGGGGTTTTTTGTTTCTGGATTCTGTTGGATAGTATTTTATTGAACAGCTTTGGATCTGTGTTCATCAGATAAATTGGTCTGCAGTTCTTTTTTTGTTGGATCCTTACCTGGTTTGGGGATGAGTGTGATATTGGCTTCATAGAATGAGTTTGGAATTGCTCCCATTGCTTCATGGAAAAGCTTGAGGAGGATTGGTGTTACTTCATTTTAAAAGTCTTAGAGAATTCAGCAGTCAATCCATCTGGGCTTGGGCTTTTCCTTGTTGGAAGACTTCTGATTACTTCCTCAATCTCATTGAGTGTTATTGGCCCGTTTAACTGGTTTGTATCTTCTTGGTTCCACTTAGGCAGTTTATATATCTCTAGAAATTTGTCCATTTCTGCTAGGTTTTCCTTTCTTTGAGTACAGGTTTTGAAATTATTCCTTGATAGTCATTCGGATTTTCTTGGATGTTTGTTGTAATGTTTCCTGTGACATCTCTGATTTTATTGATTTGAATTTCATCTCTTCTTCGTCAGTCTCCCTAGTGGTCTGTCACTCTTATTAATTTTTTCTTTAAAAAAAACAAGCTTTTTCTTTCATCAATTTTACGAATAGATTTCCAAGTCTCTATTTCATTAATTTCTGCCCTAATTTTTGCTATCTCTCTCTGTCTAGTAGTTTAGTGTTTCATTTGTTCTTGTTTTTCTAGCAGTTTTAATTGCATTGTGAAGTTACTTTAGCTGTTTGTTTTCTTTATTTGTGCACTTAGAGCTATAAACATTCTCCTCAACACTGTTTTTGCTGTACCCCACAAGTTTTGTTGTGATGTTTTCATTGCCATTGAATTGTAAGAACTTTCTAATTTCTTCTGTAATTTCTTCTGTGACCTAAGTGTTATTCAGTAGTATGCTATTCAGTCTCCGTGTCTGTAATATGATTTGTTGTTGAGAACTCGTTTGATTCCACTGTGGTCAGATAGGATGTAAGGAGTTATCTCAATCCTCTTGTATTTGCTTAGGTTCTCTGTGTGTCCTATAATATGGTCAGTGTTGGAGAATATTCAGTGGGATGCTTCAGTCATTATTGGGTGGAAAACTATAGCTATCTGTTAAGTCCATTTGGGTTAAGTCCATATGGTATGATTTAATTCAGCGGTTTCTTTGCTTATGTTTTGTTTGATTGACCTGTCCTTTGGTGAGAGCAGAGTATTAAAATCTCCCACTACTACAGTGTTGGAGGTCTACCATGGAAACTTACTCTTAGGCAGAGTAGGCTTCTCTCCTGTCCCCCAACTTCTATGCTTTTCCCAGGAAGACAGAGTACAAGGCAGTCAGCTACAATACTTGCAGGGATAGTGCTAGAGATGCAGGACTCAAAGGCACAAAGGCCTGAGGGGAGGGCAAAGGTGGGATACTCAGACAGAAAAGGGGTATGAGGCCCTCTGACCTCAATGCTCTAGCTTGGAGCCCAAGGCTGGGTCTGCAGGAATAAAGAGATGCCAGAACAGGTCCCTAGGCACTGTTGCCAGGCCCCATAGCCTCCAAACTCCTCCCAGACACCTTTTCCTCTCCCATACAAGCTACTCTTCTCACTGGAATCTTCTCATCTGGCTATACTGGCCATGGAGACAGTGATTCTCTTCTCTGTCCCTGTGACATGCTCCAACACTTGAATGGCCTAGGCTGGTCCCCACACTACCCCTGAGCAGGTTTGAGGTATGAACCACCTCCAGGATACCAAGTAATATGTGCCAGGAGGCAGAGAAGTCGGAGAGGGGCTCAAAGCCACCACTCCCTACCACATTTCATAGGACCTTCTCAAATTCTTTCTAAAGAGACAGTTCTTTCCTACAGTTTGAACTCAAAGTAACGCTGTGCCTTTTGTGCTCAAGGCTAGTGCACTACCACTTGAGCCACAGCTCCACTTTCCACTTTTCTGGTGTTTAATTGGAGAGTCTCACAGACTTTCCTGCCCAGGCTGGCTTTGAACCATGAATCATCAGATCTCAGCCTCCTGAGTAGCTAGGATTACAGGCATAAGCCACAGGCACCTAGCTTCTTTTAAAAAGCTTAAAAGGCCATATCCTTGCTACTCAGGAAGCTGATATCTCAAAGCCAGCCAGGGAAAAGCCAAGACTCTTTATCTTGAATTAACCACTGAAAAGCTGACAGTGGAGGTATAGATCAAGTGGTAGAGTGCCGGTCTTAAGCAAAAAAGCCAAAGGAGAGTAAATGGCCCTGAATTCAAGCCCTAGCAACAGCACAAAAATAGCAGAGAGGGGCAGTGGTTGAAAGAATAGTATACCACGCAACCATCGCAGCCATCTTTCTTTTCCTGAGCTCCTCCTCAGAAGATTGCTACCAGTGAACCATATCTGTTGTACTCTGTCTATAAAAGTATCTTGGTCTCTATGTTAGTATATTTGCCCA